TGTTTTTGAGTTTTCGTTCAAGGCAATTTGTTATCCCTCAGTTTGGAATTCTAAGAAGTTTCTCAATTTTTATTTAATCAGAATGTTGTGGTTACTTTAACACACGTTTATTTAATACATATTTCTGCGGAGTCTCGACTCAAGCTTCTTGCTTCGTCAGTGGATTTTTTACAGAGATAATGGGGGTACCTTTTGAGGTGTTTAACAGCACCAAATTTATCCAAATGTTAGTTAACAATTATTTTATGAGAGCAAGTCGAATGTGAGATGATGAATAACCAACAAAGTGCATAGCCCCGGGTTGTTGATAAAAATCTCACACTTTGACAACGAATGAAACAAAGAAGCCACTTCCTGTCCAAATGGAGCACAGTTCCAATACCTTCAGCTCAAGTTCTCCAGCACTTTTCTAGTAGAGTGTTTGATCTAGTGCTAACTGCTGGAATTCCCCTTTCCCAGTACACAGATAGACAAAACCCAAACACCTGCTCTCCCCTTTACCCCTTTATGACCTAGCACAGCCCTTTACTATCTTTTTGACACAAAGAACATTGACGACACCACAAAACTTCATGAAATAAACCTGTAAAGCGGGTAGAGACGTAGCCCTGAGGAAAATTGCCTCGCAACATCTTGTTGTGGTATCATACATCAGCAAGACCAGTAAAAACCGGTACGATTAGCAAAATTGAATAGAAACGAGAAGGAAGAGTCAATATAGTTTTGGGAACGATTATGTAGCTAAAAAATTGCTACCCTATAAACACCATTGGGTTTCTGTTCTATGTTAACCCTCGACACTCACTACTTTAACCACAAATTGACTCTGAACCTGAAATACTAACTTAAAACAGACCGTAAATTCAGGGTAAACTTCATTTTGTAGGTACTTACAGGACAATGAGATAGCAGAGCTACCAGCTGGACTCTTTAGTAACAACAGGAAGTTGACTGAACTGTAAGTAAGATATTCATGTTCCCGCTAAGTGACTGACTGTACGCCCTTTGCCAAATTTGTACTAAAATAGACTTTGTTATTAATAGCAAGCAAAAGGGGGTCTGGGATAATTAAAAATTGGAAGCAGTAAACAAAGAATTAGCCATTGTTCCGTCCAACAGAGGACCAAAGAGCCAATACCTCTAGAGGAAGGACCGTATTAATGGCACAATTTGATCTAAAATAAGAAAAAACAAAAAA